CTGATGAAGATGGAGGAGCAGGAGTCTTCTCTTTTCTCAAGGCTGATTAAGATGGAGTCAGACGAGGAGGAATAGAAGGAGACCTCTGTCTTCTCGGGGTGATGGCAAGGGATGAGGAGGGGAGTGGTCTCTGTTGAGAGATGGTGAGTGATCATTGTGGGTGGGCAAAGACTCACAGTTGTCCTCATCATCAGAGGACAATTGGTGGTCAAGCTTAATGAAGCGCTTGCGCCAGGCCACTTGAGAGCCCTTGTTATGACCAAGTTTCAGCCTGTCTTCCTCTGTGGGGTACTCAATGTGTATCTTGTTATACTTCTTATCAAGTATTTTGTTAATGGTGACGCGAGCGTACCCCTGTAGAATTGGGCGGCCATTAATGGTCCCGTCTCCCGCAGGCCAGGCCTGGCCGAGTGCCACCTTGTCCTTTATCCATTCCTGACGTATGTACAACTTGACATTGATGAATTCAGTGATGCCATCCATTGGATGAGGCACATTTGCATCTCCTTCGTCAAGCGTGGTCAGTCTGTAGCTGATGTGACCCCTCAACTGTGGGCTAAAGGCATTAGGAGTAGGGTTTTGTGGTACTCCTGACCCCTTGGATAGCAAAATTTGCTGGACTCATGCTTCAACAGTCGCCTCAATTCATGTGACCATTCTACCTTCCATCTCTTTTAGTGGCCTCAAACACTCTGCCTCCTGTTCCGCTCTACCCCTCGAGCGGCTCCGGTAAGTGTGAGATTCTTCGAGGAATGCTAGTTTCCAAGGAACAACACCGGTTCCTCTTGTGCGATCAGGGTGCTCCTTGGTTCCAAGTGCTTGGGTGAGCATGTCTTTTCCCCTATTAGAAGTGCGAGTCCCTTGCCTCACCTCCTCAGTTACCTAGGAGATCCTCTGGATGAGTTCGCTCATGGATGGATTTGTGGAGCTAAAGCTCCCGTCCTTGGCGTGGCACACATTCCTCCCCATATAGTATATTACCGATCTTGACTCCCAATGGGCGGTCTCAACCTGAACGCCTTCCTCAGCAAGGCGATCCATCTTTTCAAGTTTTGCTTCAAATTCTGGCATCTTTTTAGCGTAGCCACGAGAGCCGAGATGATGAGGATTCATCGCTTTTCTACGAGTTCTCCTTATTCTTCCTGCTCAGTTCTAAGTACTTCTCGGATAACCTGTATTCCTTGAAATCCTACCAGAAGTCCTTCTGCTTGCTAAACTGTCCACCATCGAAATTTGGCTCTTTATTTTGGAGGACAAAATGCTTGTACAGTGTCCCCTTGAAATTCTTGAAGCATGTCCCCATGATTTCTTTTGCTTTTTTCTTGACTACCTCCTTGTCATAATCCGTTGGGAAAGTGAAATACTCTAGAATCTTGATATCCCATATGTAATCCTTCTCACTTTTGGGAACCCTCCATGGGTCATTATCTTTTCCAATCCACTTCCTGTATCTAATCGGGATGAAGTCCCTTACAAGTAACCCGAGGATAGTCTTGTATTTAATCAAAGCTATAGGCGGTGAGAGTGGATCCCTGAATTCATCGAACTCAGTGATGTGCCAGTGTGCATTCCTACCAACAGGAAGCTTTAACACGCCTCGCTTGGATCTAGCCTTCCTGCTACCCGAACCCTCTGGCTCCTCGGCCGGTGGAGGCTCCTGCTGGAGACTCCAAGTAAGCTTTGACCCTCTCAATTGATTAGTCACATGTGGCTACATAGTCACATGGTACCAAAGTTACCTAGCCATCTTGGTCATTTTGACCTAGCTCGAGCAGGTCGGATGGGGTCTATGGCTGCTCGTTCTCACCGTCCTAATTGACACCATCACCGTTTGTCGGATCATGCGGCTCTCCCGTCCCAGCGATATCAATCGCTTCTTGTTGTCGATCTGTTCTTCGGCGACGGGGTAATAGGCGACGATGAGTCATGGCTATGACATGATCGTGGTTAGTTTTGGCTGCGGACAACTACTAATAGCATATGCAAAAATAAAGAGAACAGAAACTTAGCATCAAACACAAACACCAAAATGATGCAGCAATTCCAAAAATGAGATGGAACCTAGTTGGGGAAGCTACACAGAAAACTAACTCATTGCAAGTGGTCACCCAAGTCACAAAAAATGGTACAAACCCAGTTCTTATCTAGTCTTCTGATGACACCAACTAGGATACAACATCAACAAAATCATCACGAGATAACACATGTTGCTGCAAATTAATACATGTACTGCAATTTTACACCTTCTATATTATACCAAGCCGCTTTGATTTAACTGTCGTACCCGAATTCCGGTGCATGTTAACCGGGTAACAAATTTTAGCAAACTATTACTTCCAATTCACACCACGGTATGAAAACACACACAATTCATTCCACCACAATCTACTCTCGTATGCAATTGAAGCTCATATGCAATTGAAGCTCGTATGCAAGAAGGAAGGGGGGCAGAGCCTAGGTTGGCCTCGGCTAACCTAACAGGCATTTCATCAAACACATAGCGGGCAGTGAGCCACGCACTCACCATGGGGGGTGGGGAAGCACCTATCCATGCGCTCCTAAAGGCCTCGTCGGTGGGAGTGCAGGCGTGGAGGAGGAGGGGGCACCCAAGTGTCATGGACGAGGAACGAGGCACGAAGGCGCGCTGTGTTCGGCGTGGGGGCGGTGGACGGCGTCATGGGCACGTGGCCTTGAGACTAACGAGGGACGCGTCAAGGGGACGACGGGCGTCGGCGTTGAAGAAGAGGAGAGCGAAATGGGAAGCAGCGGCACAAGGGTGATGGGGGAGAGAGCGTAATCTCTCATAATTGTGTTAGCGGTATAGTGGTCCACTAAATTAGATTTCTTTCCACCTGGTTAAATCCCAAGTGATTCTATATAGGGTTAGACAATATTCGAGTATGAATTTGCACTCATATAGAATATATATACCATGTATGAGGTACATGATTTATCTGGTAATGGACAACATACTACATGTGGTAGTATGACATTAGGCTAATAATATCTCCAATGGAAATATGGAGACTTTTGCAAACGTCTGCTTGCTGAAGTGAACTTCAAATTGTTCCAAAGAACTCGCTTGCCTCCAATGAGTTGGAGGTATAGTTGAGCCAAATATTTGATTTGGCGTTTCTGTGTACATGGACTGTACAATCACATTTTTGTGAAAAAATGTGATATTTGTCACACATGGTCACTTTTCTAAAGGAAAAATGATGACCACATTCATGAGCATCCATTATGTTATAATTGCCATGGACCAAAGGTCCTTGATAAACGAATGAGTAAACAGTCGTTTATGTTTTTGGACAATATTACATCCTTTGTTGAAATCCCATTGAGGGACTTGCAAAAGGTAGATGGATCGCACTCCTTTGAATACATGGATTTGTAGAAATCCAAGTGTTGGAGTTACACAAAAAAATGCAAAGACATAAGTGTGGCAATATCCAGAATGGATTGAGCATTTGGTTGGGATTAGCAATAACAACGGTGATGCCATATGCCTCCAATGATATCATTGATATCTTAAAACTCATCTTATGGAAATAAATTCCATCCAATGCGAGTAGGAAAAAGTCAAAATTGAAAATATTAGCCATGTCCTACATGAGTTGATCATGCATGAATTTACTTGGACGGTAAATTATATAGCAAGGAAGGCAAAAATTTTGGGTTCAAGTTAATACTTGATTATAACTGACCATTCTATAAAGAACAGGCGACAAAAGTCGCTGCTAATGTTTTGGAATCCATTCCTGTGGGAATAGATGCCACTTGGAGGTAATCACTATGTTTATAGAAACACGGTGTAGACTTCAAATTGTGAGACCATTGCTATGAAAGTAAACACCCAAATGGTGTAAACCTTATGCAATTCATATTTGGATTGGATAAGAACATGCGGATAGTCACTATGTGATGGACATAGTGTAGATCCTGCAGTAGTATTGGGATACTAGCTTGTGTTAACCAATCAAAAATATAAATTATGACAATCAATTATAAGAGTATAGACCCTTTTGAAGTTCACATTCAAAATTGGGTACGCACATTGAGAATCAAATCCCACAGCAGTACTATGGTACTACCTTGTGTATTGCCAATTTTGAAAAATGAACAAAAATAGTCACCGTGAAGGTGAAGGTCATTTGTTCTTAAACTTGATATTGGGTACACACGTTGAGGATAATCACTATGTATAACACAATGTAGATCCCGCGGTAGTACTATGGTACCACCTATGTAAAGTTTCAGAACATTATACACAAATGATGAGGTAATCACATAAAATATTTGCATGAAAATGAATTAAGCACTAGGAGCTTAGTATATAAGCTAATGGGCTTAATTAAAAATGCAAAACAAATTGCATATATAAATTAAATGGCATAGAAAATGAAGTGGAATATATTGTTATTGGGAATGTCATATGACAACACTTTGAACAATATATTCAACACATCGGTTACATGCTATTAGGAATTGCCATGGGCAAACACTGTGAACAATGTAACCATGGTAGTGTGTGTTATTGGGAATGCCATTGAACAGACTCTTTGAACACTACCAGAAACTTTCAGAAAATGTAGGAAAAAAATGTGTGAATTTATTGTGGTAAACTCATATATAGCAGTACATATATGATGCAATTTGTGTTGACGTGTGGTCACAAAAATATTTGTTTACATGAGGCAAACATTGTGCATCATAATTCATTTAAACATATGTTTAAAATGAATATTTACATGAGGTAAATATAGTACACTGAAGTTCTATTAAAATCTGAGGGTTAAAACAAAAATCTTGAATATATTAATAATCCATTTGGACTATCATGAAATTCACAGAAAATAGGGGGGGTTGTGCAAAATGCACAGCCTTATCCTTTCCCATGATTCCCCGTCGAGGCACCAACGGTTTTCGTCGCTGTTGGGCGGAATCGCCGGCCGCCTCGCCGTGCTTCGGGCTGGTCATGGGACCTTCTGCCGGCGCGAATGGGAAGCCAGGCGCTGGATCCACCCGATCCGGGGAAAGACAAATTTCATCGCCCGGTCAGTTGCCTAGGGGCTGCGCAGGTGCCACCGCCGCTGGTCCGGCGCAAGGGCGCTGTGACCGGCCTGGCTCGCAAGCGCTGCCGTTCGGGCCCCGGAGGCACGCGGGAACCACCGGCAAGGTGCGGGCTCGCCGGCCTAGAGCCGGCTGCAGGCGCCGCGGGCACGGAGGCCGCCGTCGAGGGCAGGCTCGGAGCCGCGCAGAGGCCGGCAGTTGGGGCGCGTGGCCGCGCACAGGCCGCGGGCACCGGTAACCGCAGGCACAGACCACGAGCTCCGGCCACCGAGAGCAGCCAGCCGTGGGCGTGGAGACTGCGCAGGCTGCCTGCCGCGAGCGCGGGCGCAGGCAGCGGGGCCATCGACCACCGGCCGTGAGCGCTGGCTTTGCGTGCAACCGCTGCCATAGTAGGCCGGGCACGCGGGCGTGCACAGCAGACAGCACCGCTGCCGGTCGCCTCCATGCCGATGTGGGCGCAAGGCCTGGTGCCAACCACCGCCGACACCGTACAACCGTAATCGGCCGTACGTGCATCCCGCGGGGTTGTGCTCGTTGGCCACTGGTGCTCATGGCGTTGACAACGAGGCAGCGACCGCGCCCTATTCATTTGGGCTTGTTCGGCTGATCTCACGGCGTGGTGCTCGATCTCACGGCGTTGGTGCACGGGTCCGAACGGACCACAGTGATCATGGCCGAGGAGAACACGGTGTCCGCGGCTTTGTTGCCATGGAATTGATGAAGGATGAAGATGTCGCTACAACAATCAAGGTAAGACTAACATCAATGGATGGCTTACTGTAGTTCTTGATCGTCGCAGAAATGAGACACCGAAGGAAATCAACAAATCCTATTGTTCATCCTCCGCTCTTCTCCTTCTAATCTTGTTCAACGGAGGAGCAGAGAGATTCTGTTTCTTCTCTTTCCTTGTTCGTCGTGGATGGAGAAGTCTCGTTCTTTGCGAAGGTTTCTGTTCGTCCCTTTCGAGGGAACAGAGAGAGCATTCCAGTGCTGATAACGTGTTCAGTGTAGAGTGCTTTGATGTAGAGTAAGAGAGACAAAATGAGACTGGAAACTCTTGTTATTCATTGATCCATAGTTAGTTGTGTGTGTGTGTGTGTATATATATATATATATATATATACATATATATATATATATATATATGTATATATATATATGAAAGAACATTTCTAAAGAGGTGTCTTCTAAGAGATATATATATATATATATATATATATATATATATATATATATATATATATATATATATATATATGAAAGAACATTTCTAAAGAGGTGTCTTCTAAGAGAGCGGTTGATCACTAATAAAGTGAATCATAAAAGGTTAAAAGGTTATATACGGTATCATGGGCAACGCGGCGTGCATACTCGATCGCGCAAAGGAAAAAGTCTACATTACTTCTCTCATCTTTACCCGGAATAGGGGTAAACTTAAGCTTTGTTTTAAAAAAACAGGGGTAAAATCATAATGATGACAAAAGCAAGGGTAAAATCACAACTAAACGTCAAAGTATTGGCAAGAACACAATAGCCCCTTATAGATTTTATTTAGGTTTATGCATGTTAAATATAAATAAATCTATAACTAAGATATACATGATCAAATGAGTATGAAATTTTTACTACAATTCAATCATATAATAATTAGCCCGCCATAAAAATTTTATCACAATTGGACCGTAAAAACTGCAGCTATGAATTATTCCAATTAATTACAGAAAATTATAGATTTAAAGCCACAGCAAAAAGTTTATACTAAAGCATATCATATTATATGTCCACTATGTAGATCTACTCATGTAGAGTCCAACAAAATTAGATTTTCTATTTTATGATTTTTCTGTGATTTATTATGATTTTTCAAAGATTTAGCCGAAATAAATAAAAAAGAAAAAGACAAAACCGTATTAAAAACTACTTATAACAGGGGGAGGTAAGATGAACGGTTTTAAAAGTTTAAGGAGGTGTTTTGCCCGGTGTTGAAATTCAAGGAGGAAAAATGGATTTTCGTAAAAGTTGAGGAAGATAACGTGGACTTTTTCCTCGCGCAAATGTTGAAGTCGGACAGGAGAACTGGAATACAGCCCATGTGCTGACAGGACATACAACGGGACAGAACCGATCATGGAATACAGCGAGCGTGCGACGTGCGGAGGGCCCATACGCTGGTACACACCTAAGCCCATGTGCTGACAGGCCAGCCCAAAGCTCTTAGGCCCAAATACCTGTTCGCGCTCCGCATGTAAGAGCTCGCTCGCCCACGGCCCTATGACTTTTCGCTGTTGCAAAAGCTTGCCTGTAGACCGTGACTTTGTGCCTCAAATCGACGCAACCAAATTCCGGGTGATGAGGACGCGCTCGATGTAGCCCATGGGGGCGGCGGTGGGTGGAGACGGCGATGGGAGCAGGGGGCGTATGTTTGGATGGGTTAAGTAAGGCCTTAACGGGCTAATTAGTAGTTAGAACTAAAAAATAATCTTTTTGTTCTAAATTACAAAACGTTTTGATTTTTTTCTAGATATATTGCTTTTATTATGTATTTAGAGATAGTGTATATCCAATGAGTTGCATAATAGTAGCTATGTATCTAGAAAAAACAAAACGTCTTATAATTTAAACAGAATAAGTAATTGTATATATTTGAATCTCGGGACTATAAATCCATAGCAATAAACTGTTAGTCCTTATTAGTTGATTGTTATTGGCTAATATAATGTGATAAGAACTCGTGCTTGGATAATTTTTAGCCCCTTGTTTACCCTCCTATTTGAATCGTTTATGACTATTTTTTTAACGGCTAACAATTAACCCCTCCAAGCTCTAAGTCATACACTCATACTAGCTTGTATTATTTTATTTTGTTCCAATGGTGTCTACCTAATCAATTTGGAACACACGTTTTGAACTATTTGTTCCCATTATGCTCTCAACTTTGCTAGCCAAATAGGAATAGCTCCGCCATCTCTACTCCAGAAAAAAAAGGTGGAATTTGTGGAACACCTACTCTGGAAACTCCAAAGTTTTCTTAGAGTTGCTCCATGATAGAGATGATGAAGTAGTACTAAACAGGCCTTTAACTAAAACTTAACACCCCTTTCATTACAATAAAAACCTAAAGTAACTTCTAAAACTAAATTACCTGCATTTTTCATTACAAAAATCTCAATGCTTCTAAAACTACTCACTTCTAACATTATGAATTAATATAGAAAAAAAGAGAGGCTAACTCAACGTATGCATTAAACATGTCTCACTATGCTAACCATGTACATGAAAGCAATAAACATATTGATTTCCAAGCCAATTTGACTTGGTTATATCCAACTTAAAAACCTGGATCCACCACTTCTTTTTGTGGAGCCTTGGGAGCGGGCGGATGCCTCAGAACGTGTTAGCGACCGAGAAAACCACCAAAAATCTCACAAACCTCATCAATCACAATCACCAACTCTTCTTTTTAAACGGAGGACACAAGAATCTCTTATATATTTGTAAAAGGAAAACGGAGAGGAAAGAATATATCAGCATCGGCCGTTTGGTGCGTATGAAACGTCTGCACACACCACAGATGCTTAATTGATCCCTATCAGCCTGATTAGTTGCGAAGGAAGGAGAGAAAAGGTCAGAAGTTCTCGAAGTCCTCTGCTAACGCTGAATGGTGCGCTGCATTTGGCAGCATCAGGCAACGGACGACAGCGGCCCAGACGAGAGAGCAGCCAGAGCCCCACCCTGGGCCCCACCAACAACACGCCGAGCGCGGCGCGCCAGCCACGCCGACGCCGCCCGTGTGAACGGAACCAAACCCCCAGCGAGTAGCAGTAGTACGTACTCGTACGAGTCGTTGTCGAAGAAAAGTGGCATTAGTGGTAGCGCGTGATTACTAGTACAAGTATTTTTGGTGGGAAAAAATCGCGGAGGTCAAGTCGTCCTGGACACAGGACACCACACATTCGTACTGGCAGCAGCGAGCCCGGCCCAGGCAGAGGCAGGCTTCATCCGGGCGAGGCCGCACCTCGCCAGGCTTCCGTTCCGTGAACCCGGAACGCACAGGAACCTCCCTCCTCCGTTCCGTTCCGTTCCTTCCTCCAAGCAACACGGAGACTACTCCGAGGGAGAGTCAGAGAGAGTGTTTTATTAGGGTGCTTTTGCTTTCAGTGGCGTGGGTGTGGTCCAACGTCGTCCATTAGCCTGTTCGTCTGCTGGTTTCAATCAGGGCTTATCAAAACCCACATCAGTTGAGTTTATCAGCCTAGAAATCAACCAGCGAACCGGCTGCACGTGCTCATATTTTGTGATTTTTTTGTTCCCTCATGCTGGAGGAAAAGGGAGCGCCGTGACAAACGTGGGAGCAAGACGTCTCGAAAACCACTGTAATTTCCATGGCAGAAACGTTTTTATCTCCCAGCAAGCAAACTGGAACAACGGGAAAAAATCATTAATTTCCAGCAGGTCCACGCGGTGTTAACGAGCGCACACACCTAACTGCCGCCAGCCCACACCCAACAGGAGACAAATTCATTGATTAATTACTCCACCCGTAGGAGAGGACTAGCACTAGGCATCCCCCAGTAATATAAAAGGAGGCCGGCCATCTCCTTCCCCTTCCCCCAGGCATGAGCAACCCTCTCCGCCGCCGTTCCATGGCTGCAGCGCCCTGTTCCTGTTCCTGGGACACCTCCTTCCACGAAAAGCAGCAGCAACACTAGCTACCATCCTCCTGGATCCAATCCACAGCTAACCTACACTGGTCATCTTCCCTTCCCGTTCCGTTCGAGATCGAAGAGCAGAGGCTGCGCTACAGGGGAGGAAGAAGAAGAGAGAAGGGAGGCTGGAGATGGGCAAGTACGTGGAGCTGCTGGACATGGGCGTGCGCATCGCCGCGCGGTTCCACTCCCACTGCCCGCAGACCGCGCGCCTCTACTACCACCCGCCCGCCGGCACCGGGTCCCCCGCGGCGGCGGCCGGCGGGGACGGCCGCAAGGGCGACTCCGCCACCGCGTCCGCGGCGATGATGATGAAGAAGCAGAAGTGGCAGAGGTTCGACGCCTCCGAGATCATCCTGCACACCGTCGTCTAGACTAGTCTAGTCTAGGCCGCCGGAGCCGTCGACACGACGGCGGCGATGTATCATTCATTATTGGGAGGAGACGCGATGCGATGCTCCTCCCGTTTTCATTTGTGTGTGTGCTGGGTTCGTGAAGAAGCTGCCTGCAAGCGGCAGCAGCTGGTGTACCATGGATTTAGTAATTCATTTCTTCGGGGGGCTCAAATTGCTCTCCGTTCGATTTCGAAATGCCTCGGGTCATGCGTTGCGTGCTTCGGTTCGTCAAGCCATTGATTCGATCATTTTTTTTTTTTTTTTGCCTCGTTCCAAACAATCCGGGCTTGAGCCGAAGCCGAGCGTGTCGTCCTGCCGTCTTTTGACCTGGCTAATTTTACGTTACGTGAATTGGCAGAAATTCCATACGTGTTGGGTAGCCCGTAGCACAATTAGAGTGAAGACGAAAATCGTCGTGAACCTTTCATCAAAGGTTAGCTTCTCGATGAGTTGTTGTTCCTGTTCCGTGACGTCAAGCAGAGTGGAACGAACGAACGAATCCTAGGTTGCTTGCTGGATGAACTAACTAACTACTACTCGGAGTAGTAGTAGAGCAAAAGGAGAGGCTACAAATCCGTTGCGTTCGGTGGAGGATTCGTTGGGGTCGGTCGGCGGACGGCGGGGCGTCTCCTCGCCCATCCACGCCACCGGCCCACCAAATATCGTGGAACAGGAGCCGTCTCCCGTCTCCATCCATCCATCATTCGATGCCGGTGCTAAGTGCTACCGTATGCTCCGTCCGCTTCACTTTCACAGGATCAATCGCAGGAACACGGAAGCTCCCGGTGCCTGTTGTTTTGCTTTCGGCAACGCAACGCGACGCGATTCGCGCGCTGCGTGTTTGGACCTTGGACGTGAGATCGCCGTCGCGGATCCTGCGATTCGGGTGGGGGCCCCTGGCCGGCCGGCTGACAGTCACGGGCGAGCCGAGCAGATGCGGCCGCCGGCCGGCCCTGATTTTTCGGGGAGAGCGAGAGATGGGACATTTTGGTTTTTTTTCGTTTCTTAGGGCTCGTTTAGTTCTAAAATTTTTTTTCCAAAAATTATTGTATTAGTCATCACATTGAATCTTGCGATACATACATAGAGTATTAAATGTAGACGAAAAAAAAACTAATTGTACAGTTTTGTTGGAAATTGCGAGACAAACGTTTTGAGCCTAATTAGTCCATGATTAAACACTAATTGTCAAATAAAAACGAAAATGCTACCGTAGCTAAATTTCTAAAATTCGCGAAATAAATACAGCCTTATATTCTCTGGACTGTTCATCCATGTGAATGCCTGCCCATGTTCGCTATGTGCGCCTTGGAGTAGGCAAAGATTCTGAGGCCGCCGCGAGATTTGTCTTTTCGTTTTTATAAACGTTTTTTCTGTCCCACCCAAAACATAGGTTTAAGGTTCGGCAATGGCGTGGTCGTGAAATTTGTCTTTTCGTTTTTATAAATATTTTCCTGTCCCACGCCGAAGCATGGGTTTAAGGGCCAGTCCTGGCTTGGTCGTTATAGTTCTATCGTGCCGCTGTGTATGGGTGAGATTCTGTCTTTTTTTTCTCGATCTGCACGAGGTCTCCTTCTTAATGCAACCTCGAGGGGCTGGTATTACCCTTCGCAGATTGACTTTTTTTATGTTTTATTTACGCTCTCAAAAACCGTGGTGGCATTTCTCACCTCTTGTCTGCTTTGTTCCATGAATTCCCTGAAAGGATGTACAATTTTTTAGGTTTTATTGACCATGAAAAAAGAACAAAACAAGAATAGGTTTTTTGCGAAAAAAATAACAAACGAATATGGAGGAGAATCGAAAACTTAAGCTAAAATTATGTTATCTGTGTGCCATTTTAGGAGCCTTGGTAAAGGGACTCACGAGCTTCTTGAGCTTTCGTAAGACTTTCTAAACTCTTAAACTAATATTTATTATCATAAAAATACATAACAGCTAATATTTATCCTAGATCTATAAATACAGGATGAAATAGTGCTTTTATCCCACCTGAAAAAATAAGATGATGTAAAAACGAGTGAGAAGCACATCATCGGTTCTGTTTTTGTATTTTTCCTCGAGCATAAAAATGGGCGGAATAAATTAAAAAACAAAACATGACGTGATGTGATTTAGAATGTACAATCTTCAATTTTCATTTAATTCCCTAATAACCGTGGGCTGCGTCTGTTCCAAGCAGAGAAATGAAAGATGCTGGAAAGGAGATTCCACAGATCTGGCGTGTGGCATCGGCGTCATATCCTCAACTTGTTCTTCTCACAACCCACAAGTCTGCCTGATTAAATTCGTGGTGGACAAAGTCTCGGCGATTATTAGAAGAAGAAAAATCAATCGTTATTCGCTCCACGCTATAAATGTCCATACAGCCCGAGCACGACATCCTGGCACGAAGCATGCTATTTTGGCCCGACCCAAACACGGCACGGCCCGATGATCAGCGGGCCCGGGCTAGCCCGGCCCGGCGTTGCAGGCCGTGCCTGGGCCGGTACTCAAGCACGTGAGCTGGCACGGCACGACCCGACCCGACTTTTACAATTATGCATGACTTCGACCTCGGTGACTACAGCGGTCTGGCAGCCTGCTAAGAGCCCAACTTCATTTCCCCCTCTCCCCACCGCCGCACTCCCTGCTGTCTCGCGCTCGTGGTCGCGAGTCGCGACTCTTGCGTCGCGCGACTCCTCGCCCCCCGCGGCTCCCCTCGCAGCCACATAGCTCCTCCACGACACTCCACGCCCCCCCCTCGCGCAGCCGCAGCGCACACGGCGATGGCCGGCCTCCACGCCTCCTCTGGATCTAGGTCTAGGGCGTCGGTCTCCTCCACATCCGGTTCAATGTCGAGGACGTCGGCCACCTTCAGATCCAAGCTCGAGGTTGAGGACGTCGGCCACCTCCGAGTCCAGCTCGAAAGCATCGGCCTCCACCACGCCTTGGCCTCCTCCTCCCTGTCCTCCCTTCCTACCCTCTCTCTCACTCGCTCTCACCTGTTTCGGGCTACGGGCTGGCCCGATCCTCGCCTCGGACCGTGCTTCTTGGGCCAGCTCGGCCCGAAAAACGACCCAGTAGGCCGTGCTTGGGCCGTTGATCAGGCACGACACCCGCCTTGACACAGCCCAGGTGTCACGGCGTGCCGTGCTGGCCCGACCCCCTTCGGGCCGTGCCTACCAAGGGCCCGTGCCGGGCCGGCCCTTTGGCCATCTATACTCCACGCTAAGCGGACGCCCATTTGCGCTGGGTTTGCCGGCGTCGCTTTCCGTCCTGGCTGCTCCTACGGGGAAGAGAAAAGGCGTTGGACTTGCGCTCGGACGGAGACGGAGTCTTGGACCGACGCCGCGGCGGAGAGTCTCCGCGCGCGTGCCAGGACCGAGGACCGAGGAGAGCTGACCGTTACAGCCGCCCCACCACCTTTTTTTTTTACAGCGCCGACGACTTTTCGGCCACCACGCGGGGTGGAGGGCCACGCACTGACGACGCACTCGCTCACTGCAGCGGCAGCATGGGCCGTTGGCCCGGTGCTGGTCCAGTCCATGGCCCCATGCTCTCGGTTTTTACGGCTCGCCAGGAATGGCGGTGCTTCCAAATCGTGGTCGGTGGAGCGGGGGATTTTGTAGGGTCGGCGCCACGGCGGCCCGCACCAGTACCCCCACGTACGAGCCGTTGCTCAAATTGACCTTGCCCTTGAGATTTTTTTATTTTTAATATTTTTTGTAAACTAATTTTAAATCTAACACTGTTTTTTCTTCCAAGACTAACATTTTTTTTGTCACGCCTATTGTCATGGCGCGGCGAAACGTCTGTACCGCGTCATGCATGATGGCATGACAGGAGGATGATGTGGCGTCGTCGTGGTAGGGTCTGCCGCGCCACCCATCTTGGCGCGGCTGTGACACGCCATCGCAGGTGGCGTGGGCAAGGCCCAATTAAAGCCCACGACGCCCCCACTGCGTCCGCCCTCGACTTCGAACGCCGCCGCCGCCGCCAGCGCCGTCGACCGGCAGCGCCACTGCCTCGCCTGCCAGCGCACCTCCTCTCCTTCGGCTCATATCAAGGTAGCTCCCTCTCTTGATTTCTTGTTATTATGAATGTTATTTTAGTTAGGGTTAGTGATTTATGATAGTTAGGGTTAGTGATTTAGTATAGTTTGGTTAGTGAATTTATTTATTTAGATAGGTAGTTTTTAGGGTTTAGGTTGTGTGTTGTAGTATAGTTAAAGTTTGGTTAGGTAGTTAGGGTTTAGCTTACTGTTAGTTAGGCCTTTGGATTTAGAGATTGATTAGGTATTTATTATTTAGTTAGTTTATAGTAGTAAAGGTTGTCAGTATAGATACTAGTTTTCAAGTGTCGGTACTTAATAGTGAGTAATACGGCGATTTGGAATGGTTTGATAAACCTCCTAGCTTCAATAACGTTGGTGTCCGTTTGAATACATATAAGTTGCTTATTTTACTAATGAAATTGTTTAATATGTCTTTTAATGTTACTTTGAATATATAAATGTGCTTTCATATTGTGTTCCTATTGCATAATAAGTAATTCAAATTTTACAATGCTACATAATATTAATTTAAATATTGTTAATTTGAACCTTGTTTATGAGTTTGTAACAGGATCCAAGCTCTCTTTACGACAGATCCAAGCTCTCTGTTTGGCAGTGAACACCTCCAGATAAATTGGAAACGCATATACATATACATGTTTCGTCGTTCAAACAAACCTGTTGGTTTGCATGCCCCCTTTCTTTTGCAACTTTTGAGCGGTCCAGGTTTTCAGTGGATTAGCAGAAATTCCATGCGTGCCCGATCGGCCAACACTAAAACTTGATGAACATCTGAAAGTTGGCTTCTCCCGTGCCGTGACCGTGACGTCACGTGGAGTTGAACGAATCCTAGGTAGTACGTAGACGTAGCTTGCTCGGTAGATGAAGTAGTGAAATATTACTACAGTAGCAAGAAGAAAAAGAAAAAGAAAAAGGCTCCAAA